CACACACCCATACCACACACATACCACACACCACACACATCAAACATGCCACACATACCATACACACAACACACAGGCACCTGGGGAGGTCACATACAAGGCTCTGCAGCTCTCAGGAGCCATGTGTGAGAAACTGAGACTCTCCCGCCCCATTTTATTTATTTTCTACTTGAAAGCACTTGCATGTTCAACCTCCACCAGAATTGATCTCAACATAATTTATTCCCTCAATATTATTGTAAATTTAGGCAAAGAGTAGCATATTAATGTGGCAGATCAGTAGAATTTATTAAAAACCTGACCAATGCACTTGGAATATGTGAGACTAACATCATGGGAAAGATGAGCCGGTAGTCAATATGAGGATGTGTACTCATAAGGTCAAAAAGGTCACCCCCTAACTGTCTGCAGACAGGCTTGGTACTTAACGGCGCTGCTGGGGAGCGGCCATATGCCCATCACTCTGCTGAGTGTGCTCTGTGTAAACAGGCATACACCGTCCTCTCCATGGGTGACGCCAGAGAGGGCACTGGCCCAGAACAACAGTGCCGGAGATGAGCAGCAAGACCTTGTGAGGAGATAAATTTCTAAGTTAATAAATAAGCAAGAAGGCAACACTTTACAGCTCCCCTTGGAAAGCAAAGCCTCTGCAGTAAGTTAAAGAAGGCAGTGGATGAAAGGGGACCGTTAGAAAGTGTGTGAGCTCAATTAAATTTTGCCTTAATATAAAAATATTTGCACACCACACATCTGACAAGAGGCTGCTACCCAGGATCAACCAAGACGACTACAACTCCACAAACAAAAAATAAACCACCCCCGAAAATGAGCAGAAGAGATAAATAGGGACGTCTCCAAAGAAAACATATAGCTGGGGGCCTCCCCTGGTGGCTCAGCGGTTGAGCGCTGGGCTGCGAAGCTGCCCGCAGCCTCTGCAGTGCCAGTTTGATCCCCGGCCTCCGGCGAGGGTCCCACATGGCACAACAGACCTCTCCTACCACGCCTGCTGCTCCCCTCAGCAGTGTATTTAGTCAGTCTGCCTGTTCTGTTCCCCTCTCTGGCTCTGGTGAATTCTCTCACCCTCCCACACTTCTGACTGTACCCAGTGCTTGTATAAATAAATAAATCTTTAAAAAAAAAAAAAAAAAGAACTAACACTTAAAAAAAAAAAAAAAGAAAAAGAAAACATACAGCTGGCCAGCAGCGTGGGGAGGGAGGCTAATCGCCTGTTATCGTCAGGGAGACGGAGATCAGAGCCGCAGGAGAGCCCACCTCACAAGTGAGAACCGTCCAAACCAAACATTGGATTCTACACTCCTGTGAAATTTTCACTGTGGATTGCTTCCTCTCCTCTGTATCCAGTGTAATCTTATGAGAAGAAAAATTGTATATGGTTTCTAATTTTTTTTTTAATTTTTTTTTATAGAGGCATATTTTATTTATTTATTTATTTGTTTGTTTGTTTGTTTGTTTATATATGCATGGGGTACAGTCAGAAGCGCGGGAGGGTGAGAGAATTCACCAGAGCCAGAGCGGGGAGCAGAGCAGGTAGAAGGACCGAAGTACACTGCTGAGGGGAGCAGCGGGCAGCAGGAGAGGTCTGCGCGCCATGTAGGACCCTCCTCCAGTGGCTGGGGAGCAGCCGGGAACGAACCGGCGCCGCAGTGGCAGCTCGCAGCTTCGAAATCTAGCGCTCAACCGCTGCGCCACAGGGGAGGCCCATGTATATGGTTTCTATTTTTTAACTTGCTTTGTAGCAGTACATGGTTTGTCGTAGGGAATATTTCTGGTGTGTGTGTGTGTGTGTGTGTGTGTGTGTGTGTGTGTGTGTGTGTGTGAAAAAAGTAAATTGGATGTTGTGAGGCAGGGTGACGCCGCAGACATACTAGCAAGGCCAAACTGGCAGCTAGCTTTGTTTGGGTGCTCTACATTCTCATTCACTTTCTAATTCATCAGCAATTAAAGAAAGTCTTGAAGCTTTTAGCTGCAATTTTGTATTTGTCTACTCGCAATGTTATCATTTTTTAATGTATTTCAAGCTCTGTTGCTAAAAACATACTCATTTTACATGGTTTTATCTTTGAGGAAATTGACCCTTTTGCTATGTAGTATCTCGCTTCATTTCAAATAATCACCCCTGTTCCAAAATGCTTGACACTCACGTAGGTGCAACACCCTCGGGCAACACCCTCCTGCTGGAAGAGCACGTCCCACTGGTGAGTTCATAAATTCCTGTCCCGTCCACAGTCTCTGTCTCTCTGTCGTGGTGCGTCATTTAAGTCATTTACATTTAGTTTGGTCATCGGAGTGTCTGGATTCAAATCTGCCATTTTATGGGCTCTTCTCTATTAGCGCCTTTTGTTCTTTCATTTTTCTGGATTCTCTGGTGCTGATTGGGGCTTTAATTATTTTATTTTATTTTATCTTATCTCCACTTTTATGTTTTTCGTGATTGCCCTGAGATTTTCAATATTCCTCTTTAATTAGCCGTGGTCACATACTCTTGGGCTGCTTAGTGCACCCTGTCTGGAATTTGCAACAAGAGAGTCTCGTTCCCTCCTTCCCTTCTCCCGTGTCACTGTTGTCATGTATTTCATTGTTACATATGCTGGGAACATTCATCACATTGTGGCAGTTTTGCTTTAGACAATTAAATATAAAAAAGAAAACTAATTTTATATTATCTTCATTCGTTATTTACCCTGCTCCCAGCGCTCTCCAGTCCTTGCTATAAATTTGTAATTTCTCTTGGTATAATTCTCCTTTCCATCTGAAAAACTGGCATTTTTTTTTTCCCTGTCACTCTGCTGATAGAGGATTCTCCCAATTCTGGTTCATCTGTGAATCCTGGGCACAGAAATCTGGCTAGACGTCTCTTTGTTTTTGTTTTATTTGCAGTACTTTGAAGATGATTCTCCACTGTATTTGTGCTTGCATGGTTTCTTGCTGACATAAAAGTATTTTGTCAAAATTTTACCTTTGTTTCCAAATGATAAATCTTAAAAAAATAAAATAAAATTGTTCACAAAGCACTCTGTTGTGTAATGTCAATGTTTATTTACATAAGATAAATATAATTTTTTAAAAAGTTCCAAACATGAACTTTTAGAGTCATAATATTGTACAAGATTTTTTTAACTCACTAGTAAGCTAGAAAGAAATACATTTCATCATACTTGTAAGAAGTAAAGAATTTTCCATCATTAAGAAGTCTCCTTACTTGGTACAGTGCCAAGAACACAAGCCTTGTATGACACATGACAGAGCTCACCACCAGGAAAGGAGATGACGGGACAGTGGACACAGTTTCACAGCTATTGAAGCAAAAGATGATCGTGCTGATTCTCCACAAAAACTGCTGAAAGTCCCTTAAATAGTGTGAATCATTCTACCAAATTTTAATAATGGGTTACAAAGAAGAATCTGGGTACATCACATCAGAAGAAATGAGAGAAAAATCATCAGCATTGCAAATGGAACACCCTAGATTCCAACAGAGTATTCTAAATAGCTAAATAATATTTTCTCCAAAGAATATTGATTTCCCTTTCCACCTACCCATTTTTCTTTAGGTCTGTGCATAGAGGCAATTATCATTTAGGTTGTTTTTAGTCTTTTGAGACTATGGAGAAATATCTTAATGCAGATATATATACTTAACTTGCTCATAAATTGGTTCATTTTACATTCTTATCTTTCACTCTGACTCATTATTTGGATGAGTTTAAATATATGCTGCAGTATTTCCCAAGTTCCTTTAATTCAAATACTTGCAGGTAGTATATATATTTCAGAGACAATCCTATTCTTAAAGAAAGTAATTGTCTATTAGAAGAATATCTAATGTGCTGATCAATATACATACTATCTTTCATAGGCTATTGGTGATTTTTGTCTTAGACAAATGCACCTTTATATGTTGGGGCTTATATTTCTGTTATTTTTTATTTTATAATGATAATTTATTTCTGTCAATAATTTGATAAGAATAGTTTTTAAAATATGTAAAAATTTAAACAAATTAAACATCTAAAATTAGAGATATGAAAAACCAATGCTTATCTATGCAAGTCACTGTCAATTAATATATTAAGTATTCAGTTGTATACCAAAGTATTTATATATTAAAACGATCAAATAAGGTTAGTGAGTTAACATCCCCATTGACAGATGAAGAAATTTAAGCATGGAAGGTTCCAGGCAACCTAATTAACAAAGGAATTTATTCCAGTATATTTGTGTCTATTGTCTGCATCTTCGATGGCAAAGATGTAAGCCTTTTATGAATTTCTTTCAGAAAAGAAAAATAATAAGTATTAGTGCACAGGAACACATCCATGTCCAGGAATAATTTAGAGTCAGAGGAAATTTCGAGTTCAATTTTTTTATATCAATGGCCCCACCACTGTTTCTCTTGAATGCTCCATTTTACCACACCATGCAATCCGTTTGCTTTTTTATGGTATCGATGTCAGTGAGAGAATTTGCAAATGAACTTTCCAGCTTCAGTGAGCGAGACTGGATTTTGAGAAAATCTTTTCCTTAGGATGAATTCTGGCAGTTAAGGGAGTGTTAGGGTGCGCTCGGACCCTTTCACGCTAATCCTCAGTGAAGTTAAACAGGCTGTGAATGATAAGTGCACAAGGATAAAGGTAGAAAATGAAGGTGTGTATGTACTTTGGAGCTTTGTATTGACAAGCCCTCAAGTAACCCGCCTGCTGGGACAGCCAGTGACAAGGAACAAGTTAGCGTTGCAGGATCAATGCCCGGCGTGTGATCTGTAGCAGGGGTCGCTGCCTGTGTTCAAGGGACATCGATAAAGCATCAGAAACGAAATCACTGAACCTGGATGCCCCCCACACACCCCCAGGCCCTGCTCAGTGACGAAGCCAGCCACACGGGCAGGCTCCCGGACAACCCACTCTCAGCACCACCGAGAAAGTCCTTCAGTCAGTGGCGGGGAATTAGGGCCTGACGTCATTCTAGCCAATGCTCCTTACCTTCCGCCCACACGCCTTTGAGGTTTGGGGACCTCCCCTCTCTGCACCCCAACCTGCTCTTCTTGGACAACGACCTCTACTGGCTGCTTTTATGACCGTCAGGCCCCGCTGACTCAAACCGTCAAAACGGTGACGTAGCGCCCGGCACACGCGGGCAGCCTCGACCAGGCCGCTGTCCAGGGGTCGATTCAGCAGCTGGCGCCCGCAGCTGCTCAGTCTCACACCAATCGAAGTCCTCTCCCATCAATCAAAGGCTCCCCGATATCTCCACATTTGTCACCAGAACCAGTGAAACCCCCTCTCTCCCAGCTCCAGCCCCTATGAACCTAGTCAGTATGTCTGTTTGCACAACAGGAAAAGCATCCTGGATCCCCCCCAGCAGCAGCAACAAGGACTCTGAACAGCAGAAGCCTCTGCTTTTATTGTCCCACCTGCAAGAAGGCAAATGCATGAATCTGGAGTGTTATGAATTGTATCTGGTAAATGCACCCCTCAGGGGATTTATGATTTTAGTTCTGGTGTCAAGGTGAACAATTACATATTTTAAGCAAGGAGTTGATACAGTTAGACTTTTTGATGACTGCGATAATAAAACCAGGCATTTTACATGGGATTCATTGAATATAGCTCTGGCTAAGTGGGAAGTGTGAAATATACAATGGAGTTCCACTAGGTATCACTTAGGATATGCAGACTATGAATAGGCAATGCTCCTAAGACAGCAAGGATGCACACAGCTTTCCCTGTAAGCTTCACGTCAGGGTCCCAGTATTGAAGGACAAAAGAGCTCAGATTTTTGTGGATAGATGTCAGAATACCTTTATGATTCTTCACGTGGCAAATTGGGAACATCACTTAAATGCCAGCCTTTAAGCAAATTCTTTAACTACTTTTTTGTTGTCTACGTTATTCAAGATATTATGAATAATAGTTTCTACTATTATTTTATTATTTTATAAATAATCTGCCACCCCTACCCTGAAAATGCCTGGGGTATGGGGAGTAGAGTACCCCCAGAGTGAGTTTACCATGAGCCAGTGATAAGAATGTGAGAGAAAGAAAAACCGAACAGGCGTGCTGATGAGTATTGGGAAATAAGAAATAGTGGTGATAAAGGGGAAGTTCCATGCTGGGTAGGATTAGTGGAATTCCATGCTGATTAAAGGTAGGGTAAGTATTAAGAGATGTTGTATGTAAGTTCATGAGTTTGACATGATTCTTAAAAACTGGCATCATGTTTCATAGGCAGAAGGCAAGAGATTTCTTGAATGAGGAAAAAGAACTGAACAAGGCATGGGATGATTTAGAGCAACAGTAAGCAACTTAGTCTGTGTGAGTGCAGGACTTCCAAGGCGGCGGGGGGTTGGGGGGTGGGTAGGGGCAGTGTGGACAGTAGAACAGATTTGGGTGGCACAAAATTCACTACAGATATTCTGGAAAACATTTGAAGAAATCATATAATTCCCAAGTATGAAGCTTCTGTGCCAATGACTCAGACGTGCATAGTTGAAAAGGAAGCTTCAGCAGCTGTGTGAAGAGTAGATACAGGTGAAGTCATTATCCGTGGAAGGAAACACTGCATATGAAGGAAGAGGAATCCCTTCTGTTCAGCTCTCGTTATACTTTAAATTATTACTGTTTAACTTATTTCTCTCTCTTATCCTTACATATACATCAAGACAGGAAATTCCGTACACTTTTACATTTTCTTCATTAACATTCTTCAAATTTTCAACCTATATAGAACACCTCTCTGTGCTCTGTATGTGCATTATTTCTATCTTTGACAATTCAATATAGACAACCTTTTGTTTAAGATCTTATCATTTTGATCTGCCTTCCAAAGTAGTATTAAAACATATTTTGAAAGAGGTGAGCCATAAGGATGAATAGTAAATCAATGAAGGGGTGGAGGATTGACACTTGTAAGTGGGAGGTGACAGAATATTGGAGTTCAAAGATAGATAGAAGGAATAAGTAGTAAGTAATAAAAACAAAGACCCTCATTAAGATTTTATTGGCTTCAGAACAGAAACTGTTATAGAGCAGCCCCGATATTAAACGGGTTCCTGGCTGTGGGTCCTCACCCGCGCGCTTTAAAGGGACTTATGAATACTCTACTACAGACACACACAAAAGGTTAATAAAATGTTTATTTACAAGAGAAAAGGAAATAAGGAAAATGTACAACTCAGGGAGAAAATAGGGAAATAAAGTCTTTAATGCATCCTACCCGATCCGACGACCTGGAAATCCAAAGTCACTCTCAGAGCTGGCTGGATGCAGCAAGCTGGCGGAGAGCCAAAATGGGGCGCCCCAAAGCCCACGTGTCTGCCTTTTGTATCCACCTGGCTGCTTAACCCCACCCTCAGGTCCCAGCCACCTTCCCTTTGGTGGAGATGGGATTTGGAGTTCCCAGTGTCTTTGGCTTTGACCTGGGGTGGGGGTGGAGTCCACAAAGCCTATATGGAATTAGCTTTGGGACATTCTTTTCCCCCTAACAAAACTACAAAAAAGAGAATATCCATTTAAAATGTATCAAATTCTATATATAGCCCTTTTTATTATTTACTCTAACAAACAATCTGCTATTATTTTTTGCCCAAAGGTCTTCACACCTTTGAGGTGTTATGTGCCAACGCAGCATTTCTTTCAGCATGGAAATGTTTGGGTAGTAACTCAGAATCAGAAGGAAGTGTGGGTCCACCTGTGTGTTCTCTCATTGGAAAACCAAGTGAGCAAGGAAAGAAGTTGTGTGACTGGCTTGCTCTGTTTTTGTTTGTCTGCTCTTGGTTTTCACATGAAATAAGCAGCGTGTCACAACTTACTCCAACCAGGACAAGTCACTCTTGCCTCGCTGCTGGGTGGCATTGTGTTACTAATTTTATAATTTTTGTTGCAGAGTTATGAATGTGCCAAGGAATCGTTATTTTTCCACTGGAACTCACTGAGTGTGAGTTTCAATGCCAACATTAACATTATAATAATAACTGTGATCAACACATGACAGTAAACTCAGAATAATAGCCTTAGAAAAGAGAAATACCTTACCACACACTCTTCTAAATATTGCACCCTGCTGATCTGTTAATCCTCTCCCCAGCGCAGGGATATCATTACAGTTCTTGTGTTAATGATAAGGAAAATCCTATTTAGTGGAGGCTGAGGAATTTATTTAAATTTGCAGAGTTAACCAGGAATGGAGTCTGAATTGGAATTCGAGCATGACGATCACTGGCTGGATTTACCTAGGGAGTGAACTAGTCCTTAGTTCTGTAACAGGGTGGTCCCCAGGAAAAGGGGAAGTTCCAGTTTCCCTGCCCCACCCAAGGGAGGGTGGAGCTGAGCAGGAAGAGGAGAAGCTGCAGAAGAGACTGAGGAAGGAGCAGGATGGAGCCAGGAGACCTGGAGGAGGCGCATGGAGCCTAGAGACACGTGAAGAAGCTGCGCTTGTCTTTTGGTCGTGGACGGGGTGACACAGATGTGGATGAGACCCATGGGGAGGTGACAATGGCAGCTTTTATCTTGATGTTGATTTTGCTCTTTTCCTTCCGGGCTTGCCCGGTTGTTTGTGACCCTTTTCTGTGGGTCCCCACTGGAAGATGCTTTAGACTTGTGGCAGGCCTTGGGGCCTTGCTCTGGGCCAATCCCATTTGGATGGACTTTTACCCACGAGGGGATGGGTCACTTTGGGTGCTTCATTTAGAAACTACACTCTTTGCCTTACCTGTATTGTTTCCTAGTTTCATAAAGTTCCTTTTCATTAAAGTCTCCTATGTTTTGTGTTGATGCGGCAGATGGCAGAACCCATTTAGAATAGGCAGGTTTGTGGGGTTTTGGGCTGCCCCTCTCCATGTCCTATAACAGATTTGGCGTCCAACGTGATTTAGGACAGAGCCATCCGTGGTTAGTCAGCCGCATGGGGAAATTGGGCTTCCCTATGGCACTGGCTACCATAAGCGCAAATGTGATTTTTGGTATCTCTAGTGTGTTTGTTTCATATGTCGATTTGCTGTTGAAAAACTGGCTTGGGCTTTGTGAAGATTCTGTGTGTTTGTGTGTAATTTGTTTGTAGTGACTTGCTAAGAGATTTTAATTTGTGGAAATTGTTCTGTGCCAGTTTTACTCAAAAGATTAGGCAGTACATTGGACCATGTGGCCAGATCAAAGATGGCGTCTGAGGGCACTTGGAGTGCTCTTGTAAAATTCAGAGCTTCTTGTTGCTAGGACTTTGGAAATTTTTTTTTCTTTCTTTTTGTAATCTCTGCTGTCTCATTAGCATTTCTAAAGGCAATAATGGTTCTTCATTAATATGTTGCTTTGTCTGACTACTTCCTGCCCTGTGTCTGACAGGTTTTGCAAGCCAACTGTGGAGCAGTGGTGTTTTAATTAGCAAATGTATGCCTGGGTGTTAAGTGCAGAGTACCCTTAAGCAGTAACTGGTAATTGCTGGTAGCCTTGATGGATTCTTGGAGATAACTTGAATTTTTGCAAAGTTTCTGGATCAGAAAAATTAACAAGATTTTGTCTGAGTCTGAAAGGATTTGCTGCTGTGAATTTTGTCTACACAATTTGTTTTGGGCATGTTTGCCATTTTGAATCCTGGATTTGTTCAGTTGCTGGTGTAAGACAAGATTCTAAGTTTCTGCTTCCTACTGAGGAAGGTCTGTTATGGAAAGCACTCTTTAGGGTGCATCATGTAACTGTACCAGGTTTTCATACCTGTGTTGTTGTTGTCCCTCCCTAGTGTGGGGGAGGTGTAATCTGTGCTTAGATGTTTAATCTGCTCTTTCAGCTTCTGTCCCAGAGAGGCTAACAGAAGTAAGGAGATGACTCCTTTTAATTGAAAGTTAATCACTGATAATTTGATTTTGCTTTTTCAGGTTCTATTCCAGGAAACCCAAGGATTGCCTGCTTTGTGGCTAACAAGAGATGACTCCTTTTGCTTAAAAGTTTACTTTTGCTCTTTCAGCTGCTGTACAGAATACCCCAGGATTGACTTCTAACAAAAAGTCTTCAACACTGAAAACCCTAAGGTGATAAACAAGGTCATGTAACTCTTGTGGTTAATAAAACTTTTCCTTCCTATTTCCAAAGTTTGCCTTACCTGTATTGTTTCC